CACATTATCACATGCCTACTCGCTCCTTGAGCCCCATGCGCCATTATAGACTTTTTGGCCACCTTTGCAATTGACCCTCCTTGTGGTCGACCACCCCGCTCGGTTCCCCTCACGGTTGGCTATCCTGGTCGGTCACTTTCGCAGGCAGTTCTCCCCTCGGTCGACCATCCGGCTCGGTCACCTTCGTAGTCGGCCCTCCTCCCAGTCGGCCATCCTACTCGACCACCCTCGTGGTTGGCCCTCCTTACTGTCAGATGCTTCCCGGTCGCTCTTCCTCCTTCCTCACCCCAACTCCCTTCCTACATTTGGAGGACTCTTTCTACCTTTCATAATCCCTTCATTGGTCTAAAGCTGCACTTGGGACTGGGGACTACTGATACCGATGGACACCTAGGATGGCCCAACCCACGGATTAGGGCCCAGTCCACACCCCAGCGATCAAAGCCCAATAACTCTTAAAAGTCAACACTAGGTCAGGACCAATAACATCCAAACACTTGCCAAACAAAGGCCTAGATATGTAAGTAGACAAATATCCTACAAAGTTATTACACCACACATCAGCCATTAATAAGGCTCTCACAACGTTAAATACTACAATCCCTTTACGTTGGAGAAGACAGAGTCACTATGAACGATGCGAGCTAAAATATAGACTTTCGACCAACACGATAGTCCGGAAGGGACAAGGAAATGATGAACAAAGGATATAAGGAAGTTTCTAAGACACATAAAATGTTAAGTTATTCATTTTTTATCTTCCTCTCACTGCACAGTCAATCTCTCCTATTTTAACTCGATCGTCGGAGGGTCCGTCGGGGGATTACCACCCTTTTTGGACCTTTTTTTGTAGGAACGTTCATCAAGACCAGCGAAGCCATTAGAAGTGTGGATCAGATTGACCCATCTTCTGTTGGAACCAGATCATCATTAATAGTTATGATTAGAAAAATATAAAATTATAGAATTTTTTTCTTTAATTATAAGTTGCATGTACTATAATTTTTCTCTTTAAAAATATTTAAAAACTAGTAGGTGACCCGTGCGATACACGAGAATTTATTTTTAAAATAGAAAATTAATTGTAAGTTTTAATACTTTATGTTTAGAAAATTTTAACAATTAAAAGCTAAATACAGACAGATTTATTAATGGCTGTTGAAAATTTTTATCACTATGTGTGATTCTATGTAAAATAAGCTCGTAAAAATAATTTCTTTCAATTTTTTTATTTATTTTTTTTTATAAAAAGAAGTGTATTGTCAATCTGAAATCAAATCATCATTTGTGTTAATCAAATATACCAAAAATCATGAATTTCACTTGTATAAAAAAAAAATATTTTGAAAAAAAATAAAAACAATGAAAAATTCTATAATATACAAATTATGACTTAGTTATAACTTATTGTGTATTATTTTGATTATTAAATGTCTTTGTTAATTTCTTATGGTTTTGATTATGTCTAAAGTGGTTCATCGTGGTCTTTAATTATGCTTCAAGTGGTGTTTGATTATGATCTATTATAATATTTTTATATGACAATATTTAAGTATTCATTACACGAAATTTTTTTAAGGTGAGTTGACTCAAATATAAGATCCTAATAGTCATTTATATTGATACATAAAAAATTTTAAATTCAAATCATAAACATTGTCCTAAAAGAGAATTATGCACAAAACATCTATAACCTAAATAATTTCAGTTCTCAAATGAGTTTTGATTAATTATGTGATACATCATAATAACTACAAAATTTTTATTTCAGCCAAATAATTTTGCAAATCTTTTCTGACTGAGCACATGAAAGTGTATTATCAGTAATACTATAAATTCAAATTTTTATTTTTAATACTTCACACTATTTGTCATTTGACATTTGTCAAATTATCTTCTAAAAATTAAACAAAAAAAGTATTGAGTTCTGTATTTTATTTATTCAATCAATATGTATGTAAATCACTTATAGAAATACGATGTCTGAGATAAAATCACAATGGAGATAATTTTAATTAATGTAATGATATTTCATACTATGATATGTATTACAAAAAAATAAAATAAATTTAAATTTAAATTATTTATTTTCATAATCTTAGCATTATCGTTCTATAAAAGTGTTACTTGAACACTTATATATAATAAATTTAGTTAAATGATATGTTTATTTTGATAATTTTAGTTCTATTGTTCTATAAAAGTGTAATTATCATATAATGATTTTATGTGATATGTATATATATATATTAAATTATAATATGGTAAAGAATAATGCTTGGGACCCCCTTTTGAGGGTCACCCCCTCACCCCCTTTGTCACGTGGCGGGTGGTGATTGGAGGAGCAGGAAAAAAAAGAAAAAGAAAAAGAAAATGTAACCAATGAGAGAGAGAGGGGGTCAAAGGGGGTGGGAGGAAAAGGGGGGATGAATCATTGTTGTATAGTAAAATCAACACTCATTTTGATATTTAAAATAATAGTTAAATTAGAAAGAGAATTAGTATTTGGCAAGTTTTTCTCCTAGGTTTTTTTTGATTTTTTCCACTAAAAGACAAAAATTTTGCAAAACCAAAAAAAACAAATCCAAACAAATATCACATCCAATCCTATAATCATTTCACTTTTTCTCTCACAAATATCACTTCTAACCACAAAAAAATCTAATTATCTTCCCAAACACTAAAATTTTTTTCTCCAATAATATCCTATAACTAAAAAACCTACATAAAAACCCACTTCCCAGACACCCACAAAGATAAAAGTGATTCTAATCATTTATTTTTATTTTTATTTAGAAAATAAAAATATGTAGAAATAGAATCATAAAAAATCTATTTAAAAGATTAAATATAAATATGTTGTGATTGAATTAAGAAGAAAATACATATATTAATTATGTAGAGTATTAATTTGTTTCTTCAATATTTTTTTGAATTATTCATACATATTATACATAGGTATATAAAATTGAAATTAAATATAAATGTTTTGTAATTAATAATTTCATGTTAAATAAAAAATTTAATATAGATTAATATTAAGACATCAATAAAATAGATAAAAAAATATAAATGAAAATTAATTTAATCCATGCGATACATATAATTAAATACATTTTGTCTTATTTATTTATCTGTATATAAAAATAATTTTTTTTTCAAATATCATAATAATTAAATTAAAATATCAATTATATATAAAAAAAATCTAATAATGATAAAACTAAATACACAATGAAAAATATATGAAAAATAAGTATTTCTCAAATAGAGTACATATAAACTTAGTTATTATAATTGAAATTAAATTTGTATAGAACTTTATATGTAAATGAAAAAAACATATTGGCTTGACTCTCTAAGAAAAAAGAGAGTTTTTTTAATGTGAAATACAAAAAAAAATATTTTTTATATATATATATATATATATTAGGGTATGCCTGTGCCTGAAGGTATGATGAAAATATTATTGAAATGAAAATGTAATTGTAATGATTTTAAGATTTTAAACAAATAATAAAATGTAAGTCTCACAACACAGAAACATAAGATAAAAATTAGACGAAATATGCGCTAGTGCTCTATAATAGAAAAAAATAAACAATAAATTAAGCACACCACCAGTACTCTGCAATATAAAGAGAATTCAATTTCAGAAGATCTTTATCTACTTGGGAGACAGAGGATTTGGAAAGACTTTATGATAGGTTAAACCAGTCTCAGATTCATATATTTAATAGGGATGATCAATGGCAATGGATGGCCTGCTCATCAGGTCGGTTTAGCATTTTATCTCTTTATAATCTGCTAGTGTTCACTGGTTCTATGGGAGTAGCTAAAATGCTATGGATTAATGTTTTTCCGCCAAAAGTTCAATTTCTTTGGTGGTTGCCCTAGAAGGGAAAGTTAAAGAGTTCAATTTTTCTTCAAAGAATTGGTGTTTCTGGACAATAATGCTTCGGTTACTTGTGTGTTCTGTAGAAATGGATGCGAAACAGTGTCTCATGTCATGCTCTGGTGCCCTTTTGTTTGGCAAATTTGTTCTGAACTTTTACACTAGTGGGGGATACAGTGGGTTGTACCTGCTAGTGTACTACCAGATTCAGAAGATACTCAAAAAAATATACTAGGTTTATAGATATAAATACTAAAAAAAAAAAAAAAACTTGCTGGACCTAAAAAAAATTAAACACCTCCCAAAAAAATTAGATACTTGCTAGAAAGAAAAAGATGCTTGGGTTAAAGATAGAAAAAGAATGGTTTGGTCGCCTGAACAGTATTTATACCAGATTCTTCCTTTTCCAATGGCTCCATTCGGCCAGCACTGTTGATGAAGATTGGGATGGCGGAAAAAGAGAGGGAAGAAGAGAAAAGATGCAGAGAATAATATGAGGTTCAAGGTTGGGTCTCCTGCAAGGGTTAGGTTCCAATAAGGAATTGAAGAAGAGCACATGAATGGGCTCTGATGGAGAGAGAGAGAGAGAGAGGAGGGTCTGTGTTCAAGATTTGAAATTTGAAAGAGAGAGAGAGAGTTGAGATGAGAGGAGTACTTGTGAGAGAGAGCTATTTTGAAACTTTCATTTTGGACCATTAGATCTTGATGGTAATTGATCTCAATCATGGAAATGTTCAAATAAGACAAATGAGAGTAAAATATTTTCAGCTATTAGATTGAATCAATCTAATAGTCTATATTTTGACACATATACATTTTGAGCCATTGAATTCAAATCAAGCGATCAGTTGTTATATAGATATATATATATATATATATGAGATAAATGGAAAGTGTTTCGTATTTTTTTTTATTTTGTCATTTAGTGCACACGGGCACTTGCTAAGAAAATCATTAAAAAAATTATCATAAAAGACTTGAGGGACCTGATTTGGGGTTAGTTAAACGGGTCAGGTCGACTGCAAGTCCAAGCATAGCAATCCGACCCAACTCCCAAGTAAACCTTGTCCGAAAGTCCAAATCCGGTAACAATCGCAACCCGGGTCAAAACTCCATCGCGGTCTCTCGCTCAACCCCCATAAACGAGTTTCAAAACCCCAACAAAGCCCACAAAACACACAACACAACACTTCACAGAGAGAGAGAGAGAGAAGAATCGAAGCCCTCTCACCTCATCAATCGAACCCTGCAACCATGTATGGAGGAGGTGAGTTGAATTCATACACATACACATACACATATATGTATGTATAATTAGGTTTTGTGTTTGGTTCATTGTAGTTTGATTCATAGAATGTTGGTGTTGTTTGTGTGTTTTACAGATGAAGTATCCGCCATAGTCATAGACTTGGGTTCTCACACCTGTAAAGCCGGTTACGCTGGCGAAGATGCCCCCAAAGCCGTCTTTCCATCTGTAAGCAAACCCATTTTGAATTTAATTGGTTTCTTTGCTTCAAATTTGAAATTTTTTTGGTGGGTTTTATTTCACTGAGATGGAATGTAATTTTTGTTAGAAAAATGGTTTGTGAAACCATAAGTTTTAGCTGGTTTGTGAAACCATGAGTTTTGGCTGGTGGTTTGTGAAACCATAGGTTTTGGCTGGTTTGAAACCATGAATTTTGGCCAACTTCGAGCCTAATTTGAGATGAGATCTGGACACTGATTGAGGTGTGTTCAGGTGGAACGCATTCTTTGCTAGGTGGTGATTCACTTCGTATATATGGTTGTTCAACAACCATTTTCCGAGTGAATACGAAATTGACTCCGAAGAAGGCTTCGGCAACACGGTGGTTGAACGAATTCAAATTTGAATTCAAATTTGAATTCATCTCTTGTTTCATCCAGAAACTCCGAAGTTTTCTAATGGAAATTCAATTTCAATTGTGATTTGGTTTCTCCTCTTTCTAGGAGCATCTATTTCTTGATAGAGGTTCATACGGTGAAGGTTGGTTTTACAGCCGAATTTGGAAGAGTGTGCTCCCGCCTTTCAGGTGTATTCTCGAAGATGAATCGCTGAAATTCGAACAGATCTGAGGTTGTTCACACCGCCATCTCAGAGTCTATAAATACCCCACTCATCCTAAGTTTTAGGAGAGAAAAATTCGAATCGAATTAGAAAGTTTAGTCTCTTCAATTTTACAGTCCAAAATTGCTCTCTATTCTTGGTGTTTTGCACATAGATTTTTGCATTAGAGAGTTTTTGAGTCTTGGGGAAAGTATAACACAAGTTTGGCTCACTATATCTGAGATCATTGTGCTGCGGTCTTGGATTCTAATCATTGTATCCTGGGAGGCTGGCACCAATAACTTGAGCACCTTGGTGGGGGCGAATTAAACCTTAAGGAAATTGTGTCCAACGCAAGTTTCGACTAATTTTGTTATTGTATTGTTTGTGTTACAATTTTCATTTTATTATTCGGCATAATCTTCTTGCATAATTGTTTGTTTTGAAGTATTGTTGTGATTTGTTGCTCCATTTCTCTTAAAAATAAATTTTCCTCACTCGGATGACCACCTTTGTGAAATTTGTTTTCTGCTTTGCTTGGTTGCAAATTAATTCCAATAATCACTTATTCAGACTTGTGCTCAATTTGTGATAACTTCTCAACAATTTTTGATGGCTTTTCTTGGAGTTTTGGTTTGAGATGTTCTAAATAAGTGTACTTTTTGACTTTTAATAAAAAGATGTGTAAGAAAATAGAGAGGATATGTTGATTGATGTGACCCAAATAAGTACACTTATATAGTTTAACCCAAACCACAATTTATGAACTCTATGTGTGTATGTACACACTGTTGGAGTGGCTTTATAACTCTTTTTTGGGACTCTATATGGAATAAAGCTCCAAACTTTTGGTAGTGGAGTGCAAACAATATGACCAAAATGTAGAAATTTGAATTTTTTTGGGGGGTTTTGTTTCACTGAGCTGCAATGTAATGTTCAACGGCTTTTCCCGGACTTTTATTGTTTTGGGTAAGATAAAAACCCACAATTTATGAACTTTATGTGTGTGTATGTACACAGTAATACAAGAATTTCTATTAGAGAAGGAAAAGGTTAAAACAAGAATTGCAGTGTTACTTTAGGTTATTGGAAGTTGGGAGCTCATGTTTGCGATGAAGAATTTGTTGTTAATTTGGATGAAGTGATGTTGGAGGCTCATGTCTACTTGTTACTGTTTTGATTTTTATCCTACGTATATGAGAAAAAAGAATTCAGGTCATGTTTGTCACTATTGGTGTTGTGTGGGTGGATGAGGTGAGGAGAGTGTTTGTCACCTTTTAATGCATTTGGAGTTTGTTGGACAACTTATCTTTGTTTGTTGTCTGGTTTGGTTTGGATAGTAGGGAGGGTGATTTATGATTTGATGGTTGGTGTAGTAGTGTAGTTCCCTATGTTACTAGGAACGTGGATTGTTCCGGTACATGAAATGGGAACGGGAATGTGGTACGCTACATGCTCTAAAATGTGGTATGTTAGAGGTAGCCTTGCATTTATTATACTTAAGAATTTAAGGTATTTTTAAAATAATTTTCTTTTAAGGGCAAATTATGCTAACGGTTCCTATAGTTTGGAACTTGTGTCACTTTAGTACCTGACTTTTCAATTGTGACACATTTCATCTTGAATTTTGAATCTTGTTCCAAATAAGGATAATTGAAGATATCATTGCTTAATTTCAAGGGTAAAATCGTCAATTTGATAAAATATAAACTAATTTAACAAAAATAAATGCCAAAAAAATATTTTGAATTTTTAAAAATTATTTGTATCCACCAAAGATAAAATTATGTAAAATTGATAAATCTTTTACAAATTTATTTATTTATTTATTTTACCAAATCAATTTTCATTATGTGTTTGGATGATGATCATATAATGGGTGGTTGTTTTTATTTTCATTAAATTAGTTTTTATTTTTCCAAAAGTCGACAATTTTGATATTGTTATTAAACCAATCCATTAAATCAAAATATCCAAAACTAAAAGCATTTCATATATTAAATATATCAATTGCACATTAAAAGTCTAACAACTACTCATTACATGATTATCATCCAATCACATAATAAAAATTAATTTGGTAAAATAAGTAAATAAATGCGTAAAAGATTTATTAATTTTACATAATTTTATCTTTGATGGGTAAAAATGATTTTTAAAAATTCAAAAATATTTTTTTGACATTTATTTGTGTCAAATTAGTTTATATTTTATTAAATTGACAATTTTGCCCTTGAAATTGAGCAATGATGTCTTTAATTGTCGTTATTTAGAAAAAGATTCAAAATTCAGGATCAAATGTGTCACAATTGAAAAGTTAGGGACTAAAGTGACACGAGCCCCAAATTATAAGGACTGTTAGTAGTGTAATTTGCCCTTCTTTTAATTATTAGGCATCTAATAAAATGTAGTTTTTTTTTTTTTTTCTCATGCAGCAAAACATTTATACGAGCATTATGTTTATGACACATTTTTTTATGTTTTGTCTTGTCAAAAGTTAATTCATCTTAAAATTTAGTTCATTATATTTGATTTTTTTCCTCCTAAGAAAACATTTAAGGAAATAAATTGGAAAAAGCTTTTGGGATCGCTTTGGATCACTAAGCTTACTGTTTTGGAACGGAAGTGTACCATGTTTTGGAACGTGTGTACCAAAATGTAATTCGCTGGGGTGTTTGTTTTTTATGGTAACATAGGTTGTTCTTGAGGTGGGTTAGGAGGCTAAGGCGTGGAAAGTGGCTCCTTTTGTGTGAGGTGGATCATTTGGAAGGATGGAATAGGAGGCCCCTCGCTAATGTGGAAATATTAATTGCTAAGTTGTTGCTTTTGGTCATTATGCAGTTATGTGGGGAAAGGGAGCAGGTTGTGTATGTGTTCTCTATTACTTGAACACTTCAAATCAAGGGTTCTTTTGTCAATGTTGGTACTCGTCTCTTTGTTACTTTGCAGTTGGAATTTTGAAGTTGGTCTTGTTTTCTTAAAAATGTGTAGGAATGAAGTTGGTCTTATTTTCTTAGATATGTAGTGTAGGCATCCTTTGGTTTCTATTGTATCTCTAGATTCTCTTTTTTTGCGCACTCAAATGTATTATCTTTCAGTTCTCTGTATTTTCCTTTAGATTTTATTATTACTTTTTGTTGATCCTTATATATGTGTATTTAAGGTTGTTGGATCAATTGATCAAATGGATGTTGATGACCCTGGTAACCCAGAAAAGAACTCTGGATCTATTCCAGATTCTAAGAATGTTGTTAGAACTTTTGACTCAGAGAAATCCAAGGGAAAAAACAAACTTTATGTAGGATCTCAAGCCTTGGGATTCCGCCGGGATCATATGGAGGTTAGTTCGTTGATTACATTAATGAGGAATTGTGGGACATAGGTGGTGTTTGGGAAGTTTGTGTGTTGGGTTTTTTTTGATTTTTTCCACTAAAAGACAAACATTTTACAAAACTAAAAAGAAAACAAATCCAAACAAAATATCACATCCAACCCTATAATCATTTCATTTTTTCTCTTACAAACATCACATCCAACCACAAAAAAACCCAACTATCTTCCCAAACACCAAAAAAATTTTCTCCAATAAAATCCTACAACTAAAAAAACCTACATAAAAACCCATTTCCCAAACACCAACATAGTTTCATTACTTCCAAGTTTTATGGTTTTGATCAATGTTCTCCTATCTCATCAGGTGCTGTCACCCATAAAGGATGGAGTTGTTGTTGACTGGGATATAGTTGAGAGCATCTGGGACCATGCTTTCAGGTAAGTAGTTCTTATTAGTATACTAGTGCTTATCTTGTTCTCTTTTCATTTTTTTGATGCTCTGATGGAAGTTTGGCATGCTCAACCTGCAACCTGCCTAGATACTTTCTGCAGTAGATGGCTTAACTTTGTCTATAACCAATGAGTTGTGACCTTCTTTCTCTATCTTATTCTATCTGACCAACTTATTGTACTTGTCTTTGGCACCTATCACAAGCCGCTTGTATGAGAGTGACATAGCATAGCCTTTTCAGTTCCTTTCAACCACCAACATTTGAATGTCTCTGTGGGAAATATTTCTTCTTGATTAGTTGTCCTTTTGATCTGTTAGGTTAGATGGGACTGGAGGGGAAAGTAAAAATATATATATATATTTTTTTGGAAACACTTTCAAAATGATGCATATAGAGAGCAGTGATGTCCTCGTACTCTTTGGGAATGTGCAACTTCCACACTATTCAAATGCCAATAACCACATCATAGAGAAGTTAATACTCCACTTGGTATTCTCATTGTGAAGCGGGAGATATGCTTGAGGGAAGAAGAAACAAATTTCTTTTGGTCAGTGGTTATGCCGTGATGTGGTTTTATTCTTGTTTTCTTCTATTTCATATTTCTTTTTTAATCTTTTTCTTCATGTTTCAACTGCAACAGTAGTCAGAAAGGAGTTAATTTAGTGAAGTAAACTTTCATAAATCAGACCTGTTATGGGGGATGATTTAACAACGATTGTTTGTCTGTTATGCATGGATATGTCAGAGCAATTGCATTTTGTGGTTTTCAGTTCTGCTATTCATCTTCATTTTTTCATTAAAAAGACGAGGTCAATGTTGTGGCCATTTGTTTGTATAAGCTTGGAAGCTTTGACGTACATCATATTCGAGTGTCTTCTTTTTCTTTCATTAAGCTTTCTACTTCTTTAAAAATTTGTTGATTATATCAGTTTTCTGGTTTGAAATTTTAGATATATTTCCACAGAATAGCTCCTTTATGGGTCCGACAAGACTCTGTAAACTGTCCCGACATTGATTCCAGTTAGTTTCTACAAGGGTCCAGCAAGACTCTGTAAACTGTCACAACAACTGTCACAACAGTGTCTGCTACAACGGTCTGACATGACCCCATAAACTGTCTTCTACATCGGTCTGACACCGCCATCTAGTGTCCTCTACACCGTTATGACACCACCATACAGTGTCCTCTACAACGTTATGACACCACCATCCAGTGTCTTCACCAAAGGTCTGACACGACCATACAGTGTCTCCTATCCTCTTTTATTTTTATGTATTTTCTTGTTTTGTTACTCTCTCCAAACTGAAGTTGGTTAGTTTCTATCCTCCTTGAGTTTGCGGGGGGGCTGTTAAAATTTACCATCACCTACCACCAATTTACCATCACCTACCACCACCTACTCCTCACCTACTACACTCACCCTCTCCTATATAATGAGTCACTCACCATTTGTAATATATAACAATATATCAATCAATAATACAATTCTCTATTTCTATTTATACATTAAATTTTAACATGTTTGGATGATGATCATATAATGGGTGGTTGTTTTTATTTTCATTAAATTAGTTTTTATTTTTCCAAAAGTCGACAACTTTGATATCATTATTAAACCAATCCATTAAATCAAAATATCCAAAACTAAAAGCATTTCATATATTAAATATATCAATTACACATTAAAATTCTAACAACTGCTCATTACATGATTATCATCCAATCACATAATAAAAATTAATTTGATAAAATAAATAAATAAATGCGTAAAAGATTTATTAATTTTACATAATTTTATCTTTGATGGGTAAAAATAATTTTTAAAATTCAAAAATATTTTTTTGACATTTATTTGTGTCAAATTAGTTTATATTTTATTAAATTGACAATTTTGCCCTTGAAATTGAGCAATGATGTCTTTAATTGTCGTTATTTAGAACAAGATTTAAAATTCAGGATCAAATGTGTCACAATTGAAAAGTTAGGGACCAAAGTGACACGAGCCCCAAATTATAAGGACTGTTAGTAGTGTAATTCGCCCTTCTTTTAATTATTAGGCATCTAATAAAATGTAGTTTTTTTTTTTTCTCATGTAGCAAAACATTTATACGAGCATTATGTTTATGACACATTTTTTTATGTTTTGTCTTGTCAAAACTTAATTCATCTTAAAATTTAGTTCATTATATTTGATTTTTTTCCTCCTAAAAAAACATTTAAGGAAATATATTGGAAAAAGCTTTTGGGATCGCTTTGGATCACTAAATTTACTGTTTTGGAACAGAAGTGTACCATGTTTTGGAACGTGTGGGTATTTGTTTTTTATGGTAACATAGGTTGTACTTGAGGTTGGTTAGGAGGCTAAGGCGTGGAAAGTGGCTCCTTTTGTGTGAGGTGGATCATTTGGAAGGATGGAATAGGAGGCCCCTCGCTAATGTGGAAGTATTAATTGCTAAGTTGTTGCTTTTGGTCATTATGCAGTTATGTGGGGAAAGGGAGCAGGTTGTGTATGTGTTCTCTATTACTTGAACACTTCAAATCAAGGGTTCTTTTGTCAATGTTGGTACTCGTCTCTTTGTTACTTTGCAGTTGGAATCTTGAAGTTGGTCTTGTTTTCTTAAAAATGTGTAGGAATGACGTTGGTCTTATTTTCTTAGATATGTAGTGTAGGCATCCTTTGGTTTCTATTGTATCTCTAGATTCTCTTTTTTTGCGCACTCAAATGTATTATCTTTCAGTTCTCTGTATTTTCCTTTAGATTTTATTATTACTTTTTGTTGATCCTTATATATGTGTATTTAAGGTTGTTGGATCAATTGATCAAATGGATGTTGATGACCCTGGTAACCCAGAAAAGAACTCTGGATCTATTCCAGATTCTAAGAATGTTGTTAGAACTTTCGACTCAGAGAAATCCAAGGGAAAAAACAAACTTTATGTAGGATCTCAAGCCTTGGGATTCCGCCGGGATCATATGGAGGTTAGTTTGTTGATTACATTAATGAGGAATTGTGGGACATAGATGGTGTTTGGGAAGTTTGTGTGTTGGGTTTTTTTTTATTTTTTCCACTAAAAGACAAACTTTTTACAAAACCAAAAAAAAAACAAATCCAAACAAAATATCACATCCAACCCTATAATCATTTCATTTTTTCTCTTACAAACATCACATCCAACCACAAAAAAACCCAACTATCTTCCCAAACACCAAAAAATTTTTCTCCAATAAAATCCTACAACTAAAAAAACCTACATAAAAACCCATTTCCCAAACACCCACATAGTTTCATTACTTCCAAGTTTTATGGTTTTGATCATATGTTCTCCCATCTCATCAGGTGCTGTCACCCATAAAGGATGGAGTTGTGGTTGACTGGGATATAGTTGAGAGCATCTGGGACCATGCTTTCAGGTAAGTAGTAATCTAAATTATCTTCTTATTAGTATACTAGTGCTTATCTTGTTCTCTTTTCATTTTTTTGATGCTCTGATGGAAGTTTGGCATGCTCAACCTGCAACCTGCCTAGATACTTTCTGCAGTAGATGGCTTAACTTTGTCTATAACCAATGAGTTGACCTTCTTTCTCTATCTTATTCTATCTGACCAACTTATTGTACTTGTCTTTGGCACCTATCACAAGCCGCTTGTATGAGAGTGACATAGCATAGCCTTTTCAGTTCCTTTCAACCACCAACATTTGAATGTCTCTGTGGGAAATATTTCTTCTTGATTAGTTGTCCTTTTGATCTGTTAGGTTAGATGGCACTGGAGGGGAAAGTAAAAATAAATTTTTTTTTTTTGGAAACACTTTCAAAAGATGCATATAGAGAGCAGTGATGTCCTCGTACTCTTTGGGAATGTGCAACTTCCACACTATTCAAATGCCAATAACCACATCATAGAGAAGTTAATACTCCACTTGGTATTCTCATTGTGAAGCGGGAGATAGGCTTGAGGGAAGAAGAAACAAATTTCTTTTGGTCAGTGGTTATGCCGTGATGTGGTTTTATTCTTATTTTCTTCTATTTCATATTTCTTTTTTAATCTTTTTCTTCATGTTTCAACTGTAACAGTAGTCAGAAAGGAGTTAATTTAGTGAAGTAAACTTTCATAAATCAGACCTGTTATGGGGGATGATTTAACAACGATTGTTTGTCTGTTATGCATGGATATGTTAGAGCAATTGCATTTTGTGGTTTTCAGTTCTGCTATTCATCTTCATTTTTTCATTAAAAAGACGAGGTCAATGTTGTGGCCATCTGTTTGTATAAGCTTGGAAGCTTTGACGTACATCATATTCGAGTGTCTTCTTTTTCTTTCATTAAGCTTTCTACTTCTTTAAAACTTTGTTGATTATATGATTTATATCAGTTTTCTGGTTTGAAATTTTAGATATATTTCCACACAGAATGGAACAATGTATCTTGTGATTCCAGAAAGCTTGAATATATCTTGGTTTATATTAACTAGAAGCCTCTTGTTAGTTGTTTGTTTCTTTTCTTTTTCTGGTGCCCTTTCGACTGCCCTTTTATCTTGTTGTCTATGAATTTGCTAATTATAATTGGCCTTTGTTAATTTTAGGGAATGTCTACTGGTTGATCCCAAAGAACATCCAATGCTACTAGCTGAACCATCTTCAAACAGTCAACAACAAAGAGAAAAGTGAGCTTGTAGTGAGAGCCCTTTCATTGGTTTGATGATATATATCTGATCCCCATCTTTTTTTTTCAAAAAATTGAACTTTGTTTTAAAGATAATCTTAGTTCTTGGATGATAATTATGATACAACTGTTAAACTATCAAAATGATAAATAATAAAATGATACAACTATCCTTGATGTTACTCATCAAATGACTTGGAGATCATGATGAATTTAAAGGCTCAAATTTTGGTTTTAACCTGTTTTTTTCATTTTTAGAATCAATGTAAAGTATTATAATCTACCAATTATCTAAAGAGTTTCTTGCCTTGTAGTGCTCTTTTTTTTTTTTTTTTCCCCTTCTCCATGCATTTCTGAATCTAATTATTTGTTTTCTCTAGAAGATAAATGAATTGCCTAACTTAAGTCAACTCATCTTGATTTTAATATTATAGTATGAAGCGCATGGCTCTATGTTTAGCAATGAAACTTGTTACATGTCTGACAGGACAGCAGAGCTTATGTTTGAAAAATACAAAGTCCCTGCCCTATTTTTGGCCAAGAATGCTGTATGCTCCTCATTCTACCCTTAAAATTGATACTCAATGCAAATTGAAAATTGTTATTTCATTACTTGTTTCTCTCTCTCTCTCTCTCTCTGAGATAGTGCAGTCTTTAATTTGTTATAATAACTTAATATTGAAAATGGCAGGTTCTCACATCTTTTGCATCTGGACGGGCTACCTCTTTGGTTGTTGACAGGTTGGAGAATAGTTAACACTTTTCGATTATGAATTGTGTGTGTTAATTTTTTTGTTTGTTTTGTTTTGTTTTGTTTTGTTCTTTTTTTTTCCTTTTTCTTTTTACCAAGTTTTCAGGCCTTTGAATAACTTCTTCTTCATCGTACATGGATTATCTTTTTGTTAGTCTTGTGAGTTTTTAGGCCATATTGACACTTAATGCTTATTTATTAATTTAAGAAAATTCTTAATAGAAAGGCGGTTTCCAATTAGGATTGTTAGAACTCTCACTATCCAGCCTATTGCAATTATGTTAGCTTGATGTGTATATGATTTAGACTTGGTCCATTACTTTGTGTAGCTTTTGTTTTAGGGCAAGTGGTTGTTGAGCAATGTTCTTTTGTTCTTTTCAATTATTTAGCCATTATGGGCTGAACAACAATAACAAACGGTGCTCTAAACCTAGTTGAATGTGCCAAATTACTTTATAGGCGGAAACAAAATTGTTTATGGAATCAATACTCTATGCAACTGTGAGTTCTGAATCTGCTTTTGCAGTTCTGAGATTTATTTCTTTTTTCCTAATATTGATTGGTTGCTGAAATTGACACTAATCAGTTGTATTTCCATGACTACTAACTGATTCAGTGGTGGAGGCTCAACTACCATCGCCCCTGTACATGATGGTTATGTTCTCCAAAAGGTATTCCTCCTGAACAAGTGAAAAGATGACATTGTGTTTATCTTGTTAAATATTATGTTCCAAACTTAATTCCACATCTGAAAAGTCAAACTCATGTTTTCTAGAAGTTTCTAATCAGTTCATAAGTCAGCTATCTGTTATCTTCATCACTACATGGATGCCTGTATAAGTCATCACACATTATAAAACATATTTCATAGTTATTTTTGTTTTTTGGCACTATTGATTCAGGTGGAAATTTGAATTATTATTGAATTTATAATCTGTAATTTACTTTGTTAAATGTGGAGAGTTTTGAGAAGGGATGCATGTCACTGTCATGATATCATTATTTAAATGTGTTCATTAAAGGCACCTAAAAGGGTGCAACCTATGTATACGAAGTGCACCAAACTAATCTAAAGTCGATAAAACTAAGATTAACTCCTTTTTTGTTTTGTTTTGTTTTGTATTTTTTTGTTTTGTTTTTTTTGTTTTTGTTTTTGTCAGCAATAAAACTAATATTAACCATAAAATCTACTAAAGAAAAAGAAGATTTTCAAGACTTGTAACCGAGCATGTGAAGTAATGAGGTCTTCAAACAAGAAGAACACACATTTGTTGGAAAAGGATACACAGCTTTTGAAAAACATTTAGTTAACGGAGAAGCATACACAAATATTTTTAGGATACTCTGTGTTTGTTAAGGATACATACTTGGCGTGGCTAGGATCGTTACCTTATTTGGTCATTTTCCTATATGATATTTTGAGTAAGTAGTGTTTTTTCTTAATTAGTAATGTTAGGTTGCCTCAATTGACTTTCTATCAAGTTAGCCTTGCCTAATGGTAAATTTCTTTCAGTTTTTTTAAGCAGGGTTATTTTTAGTTTAAATAATTTGTTTTAGTTGAATTACCTTTATTTTTGCAACCGCAAAAATTGAAAGAGTATATGAAATGTGTCGGTAGTTAAGTTATTTTCTTTTAAGAGTTTGTTCCCTAACCTGTGACTTTGTATTTTTAACTGTGATTTAGTAACTTAAAAAAAATTGAAAAAATTATAACGGAGTAATGGACTATCGGGTGATGACTTATATAGCAAAAGAGTAGGCAGTAAGATTAAAATATGCCGAATTTAGTCTCCATTAATGGGGTCTGGGAGGAGTGTACTAGGTAAGACCCATCCCTGGCATTATTTGTGCAGAGTGTTGACCTCAGGTTAAAACTTACAACCTCAGGTTAATTGGCCGAGTTTGACTGCCGAACTAGTGGTCTCCTATTAAACAACAGTCATAATGTGAGAATAGAAATTTGGGATGGGTCACAATGGAATTAGAAAAAGTTTGATAAATAGGAAAATTTGTAAGAAATTTTATCCAGAGCCAAGACAGGGTCAATTGAAGTGTTTGCTGGCAATATTGAGGGTATCAAATTATGGTTAATCATAATTAGCAATTTAACCTTCGTTTTCTTTTTTTGTTATATATTGTTGTTTTTTGTCAATAGGCTGTGCAATCTTCGCCAATTGGAGGAGAATTTCTTACTGATTGCTTGATGAAAAGTTTGGAAAGCAAAGGCCTCACTGTGAGTCACTACTTCAAAATTTTGAGGAGGTTAGTTATATGAAATAGTTGTGTATTTGACTAAAATATGTTTGTATTTTGGTTGCAGATAAAACCAAGATATTCTTTTAAAAGAAAGGAAATACGACCCGGAGAGTTTCAGGTTATTTATGACCTTGTATCTTTTCATTGGCACTGTTTTGTATCAGAACAATTTTTTTTTTTCTCATATTGTAGTAAAGTTTTTTTCTTGTGTAAATTGGGCAGGCATGTATCATAATTAGGCCTCATTTGGAACTAGTTTTTTTCTAGCTTTTTTAATCTGCTGCTTAACTAGATTTTAGTTTTAGTTTTAGTTTTAGCTTTTGGTAAAAAAAAGTCAAAAACCCACTTTGAAAGCCCCTTAAAAGTTAAAAAATGAATGTTAATTGAAAAAGGATAATAAGACAAAAGAAAGCTCCCTTAAAATCCTTTTTTTAAGCCAAACCAAATGTGGCCTTAATGGTTGTCTTACAAGCTAAGACCTAGAAGTGGCCTGTTTTATTACTTGTTTTATTATCTTTCTTTTATTAATACTTTATTTTATTTTATTTTATTTTTTATTACCTTTTCAAGAATTATGAATATAGTCCTTTGAAATTTGCAGTATGGTTCATGTTCAGTAGTGTCATTATTTTTTATTACCTTTTCAAGAATTATGAATATAGTCCTTTGAAATTTGCAGTATGGTTCATGTTCAGTAGTGTCATTTCTTCATAATCCTGATGAATGATATGACTTCACAACATGTCACGCAATAATTTCTCTTTCTTTCTAAACCACTTACCATGGTTTCTATATAGAGTTCTTCATCTTTTCCTAACTCTTTAGTTTCAATGTAAATATTGTAGTGAAGCTGTTGTTTGGTGATTTAATTTTACTTCATTATCTTTGGATGAAATATTCAAATATATGACATAATAAATATATAAATTTATATGTTTTTGTGCGTGTCACTCAAGTGTCATGTCCATTTTTCAAAAATTCGTCTATTGGTGTGTCCATGTCCGTGTCATGTCATGTATTCATGTCTGTGTCTGTGCTTCTTAAGTACAAAGACACATACTCGGCCATTCACCCAGCTAACGCATCTACTGTCCCCTCCCCCCAAAGAAAAAAATGAGAAAAAGACTGCCCTTAGGCTGATCTAATATCCTATATGTGAGTTTTTATTACTGAAAATCTGTGTTTTTCTTAGATGCATGTGATCTTCTTTCCTGTTATGCTTATGTCATTAATGCATCTATCTACTTTATTCCGTTGGTGACTGGCTACCTCACATCTTTTCAAATTCACTTTTTTTTTATTCTCATAGACAGTGGATCTTGATTTGCCAAACACAACAGAAAGTTACAAACTGTTCTCCCAGGTGTGTGGTTTACCAGAATTTTCCCTTTTCATTCATCACCTCTCTGTTTTTTCTACTCAATGTTCTTTTATTGTTGCAGAGGGTTATTGTCAGTGATATTAAGGAATGTGTGTGTCGAGCACCAGACACTCCTTATGATGGTTTGTGTTCCAGTGCTTTTTGTCCTTCATGTCAAATTAATTTATTTTGAATTTGTTGGCTTTGTCCATTAGTTTATTGTGGTTTCAATGTTTCCATTTTTAAGATAATATAATAATTCAATAAGTAACATGCAGTCAATTTTGACGACAATGAATTATTTTGACCACAATAACATGTACTCAATGAATTACGTACTTTGTGTAAAATTATGTTGACTAAATTTTTTTTAAAACTCGACATATTTTTCAATCTTCAAAAACATTTGCACTTATATATTGTGATTAATTACTCTCTTTCTGATCAGCAACCCCTTGAAAGTGGTCTCCACATTTGCACTTCTATATTGTGATCATAGTTGTCAAATCGGGATTCGTATCGTGAATCGAAATGACCTTGTAAAGAATCACGAATCGAATTGTGAATCGTAAAGATCCGGTCACATTTTCGAAATTACTTAAAAACATATATCTACACACTTAGATGTTAAATATATTTTATGAATATGAAATATTTAGACTTAAATCAATAAAAATGTTATTTTAAATGATAATCATATAGTTTAATAGGTAAGAAGTTAACAAAGGTTCCTATGTAAGATCATCATCTTATTTTTTTATTTTTTATTTTAGATATTTCTTATTAACCATTCTTAATAAAGATAGTAACCGAATAGACAAACTAGTAATTTTCTAAGTAATAATAATTAACAACGATATTGATACATACTTTTCTAAGTAAAGGTTAGCAAATAATAAGAAATAATTATTTAGAATCTTTTATTTTAAAGTCAAAAACTTTTTGAAAGGTATAACTGACCTCACACATGTAATGTTCAATTATATTCAATTTAATAGAATAGCAATAGATAATTCATAGTGTAACTTTAATCTTAAACATATTTAGAAGATATATTATAATTTTTTAAAAGGGGAAAAATGAGAAGAAAGGTTAAAAATATGTTGGATTTGACTGAATCTGATTGAATTCTATTAAAAACTCCATGATCACTAAAATAACAATAAATTATGTATATATGTTGGTTATTTTGGTATTAAACACTATTAGAAGTTGTATTATGTCATTTTCACTAAAAAGATGGAAAAAAATAGTCATCCAATATGCATCTATTGAGGCATGCTAGACCCTACGACACTGCGAGATGCTACTAAAGACCCAACATGCAACGTTGGCTTGTCGGCTAAGTTGAGGATCTTTGCTAGCACATTGTTGTGTGGCTAGGCACCTTGATGACATAAACCTAAGTTGGGCGAGCACCTTGTTTGAGATAAGCTTGGCGCTATGAAGCGACTTATGTCGTACTTGGTGCACTTGAGGCGTCAGGCCTACTTGTGGCATCCGGGTGAAGACGGAGCTTCCTTGTGAAGTTGTTTTGCTTGACAAAGCATTGGGCTCTAATGTTCAAACGGGTGAGACCATCAACACTCGATTTGTCAACGAGCTATGACGGGCTTAAACTTGGTGGAGTTTGAGTGTCACATGGGCGAAAAATTGATCCGCTCATGTTGGACACAATAATTTCAAAAATTGCATGAATTGTAAAAAGTGAATCGAATCATGAATCGATTGTGAATTGTGTGATTCCCTAGAGATTCACTTCCAAAATAGATTCACCCATAGATTCATATCGATTTTGCAAAAATTGCAAATCAAATTGCGAATTGTAAGATTCTGATAACAAAGATTGTGATTAATCTCTCTATATATTAATTACTTGGTCCCCACATCATAATCTACTGTCTAGTAACCATAGGCTACAAAAACTTTACTTGCGATTTATCTTCCGGTAATATAAAGCACTTTCCACACAGTGTGGAAGGGAGCCTGTTCTCACTATTCAATCATTGTACTGCCAATTTCTATATTTTGATGAAAATACTAACCTTAAATCTGGTTCAGTGTGTTGGAGTTTGAATTGTGATGAAGAAATGCAAGAATTTTTTATGACAAGTTTGATGATGTTGATGAGCTTTGGGACAATTTTTTATTTGTCATTATTTTTGGGTTTTGGCTTCATCTCCCTTTAAATGGGTGCCTTTGTTCCTGTTTGCCATGTCTAATTATTTTCCTTTTCTCTTGTTGATTTCTTGTCATCCTTGATGTACTTTGTCCCTCTATTTTTATTTTTACTGTTTCTGATAATAAAAAAAAGTCTGAAACATGGTGAATTTCTCTCTCATGTCTTTGTTATTCACACTTTCCCTTTCCTTGGATGAATTTTGAATCCTTGTTCAAAAAAAGGAGAGAGTAAATTATTTGTAATCAATAAGAGAGAGTAATGCCCCTAGGATGGAATTTCATTATGTAAAGTCTTCTTTAATTAACATTTGATCTTGTTTATGTGCTTTAGGTTAAATCTTTGTTATGCTCAATGCATATTTATTATTATTTGTAGATACCTATTTATTGTTTTCACCTCTGAAGATTTTGAGGCATTAACTGCAGAAGCATATACTTATCCTGTATCATTTCTTTTCAGAGAGTGCATATTCAAACATTCCAATGACACCATATGAGCTTCCTGATGGGCAGTAAGTCCTTGCGATTCTCACTGAGTTTCTTTAGAGAATAGGGTTACAATGTGTACTTTTTGCTAATTATTTTTCAAATCATAGTAATATCCGAAACCCTTATTCACATGGGTTGCATTTTAAATCTCTAAACTCCATTTGTTGAGGTCTCTTAGTGCATGCCCTATACCATTACGTTACACCAACATCTTGTTGATTTTGTGGCCAGATTTACCTTACGTTCATATCGTTGCCCAATTTGTACATCTTTGTTCTTGACCATGTTTTTCACTTCTAAACTTCATCATTTGCTTGGATTCATAATGCCCTTGGATTTCGTTCGTCGTGCATAATCAGGACAATAGAAATTGGAGCTGACAGATTCAAGATTCCTGATGTACTGTTCAACCCAACTTTGGTTCAGGTTAGTGGATCAAAAACTAGGATATGCTAGCTTTTTGTATGCTCTTTTCCAGGGATCAAAATGTCTTTTTGATGTGTTGTTTCTGTTAGCATGGAAACGTAAACCTTTAGGAAACCTGAGGAAATGTAAACCTTTAGTGAACCCTTAGATGGTTTAGCTGATCTACACTGGTGACCTTTTTATTTTCTTTATTTTGATATGAGTATGACATACTTCTAGTTGACATGTTATTTTTTACTTGTGATCTTAATCTCAGACTATTCCTGGTATGGAAAGTTCCGCAGAGACTGCTGCTTCTGTTCGTGGCTTGCCACAAATGGTAAATTCCTTTGTCTTTGAATGCACATGTTCAATGACATGGACAGGGGGTTTGATATATTATCGTTTCCTTTTTCCCTTTTATCAATTGTTCCTTTTGAATTGATGCAGGTTATAGAGAGCATTAATAAGTGTGACGTGGATATTCGGAGAGAACTGTTTAGTAGTATATTGGTAAATTTACTCTTGGCAATTTTAATGCTCTTGGCTACTCATTTTTATAAGCAAGGTTGTGGTTTTTTTGTTTCAATTTTTTTCTCTTGTTATTCGATTATTGTTTTATTACTATCTTCTCTTGTTCTTTTTTAAATGGAAAATATTTTTTTGCCTAATATGACATGGACATTATGAATGAAGATGCCAAGTGGAATCATCTATAATATCTTCCAAGTCTTAGTCTCAACAGGAGTAGGACCTTTTGTTTTGGAACTGAAACAATTTTTTATGTAACCTACTGAACACCACATATAAAGACCCAATAGCACAACTTGATCCTAGTATGAGCTAATACCACTTCTAAAGCCCATGTCTAGGCATTTCATGAAATTTCTAAATTACTATTTGACTTATGAAAGCTTAGAAAGTGTATATAAGACTGAAGCCAGAGAAAACTATTCAACAAATACTATGAAATAAGACCCAACATGACTGAAAGTTTGTTCACACAAGCTCTTATGCACGCCCTGCAAGCATATATGTTTGACATAGTTGGCTCCAGATCTCTCTGTCACTCATTATTTGGTGATCTACTGACACATCTTCATTTTGATAAAATTGATACTTCATATGGAGTCTTGGACATAGTTGGCTTCAGATGTCAACAACTCTTTTGGATCTTCTCCTTCTTTGACTTTTGTATATGCTTTCCTTTCTTAAGGGTATATGGTTGCATGCATCAACTATCTTTTATCGAAGTTATCAATTCGGTTTTCACGTGCATTTTGGCTTCTGAATTGTGATGGAATGTCCTGGATCAGTCCCGTGAATTATTTTTGTTCACCACCTTGATAAAAATGTATATACCTAACATATCGTTGATATACTGATTATTTAATATGTCAGATGTTTTTGAACAGTTTTAACCATTGACTATGCATACACTAATCAAAAGTTGCTTCATCTCGATTAGAACAGACAATTATGTGCTAATTCATTGTTTGCTGCAGCTTTCTGGTGGCACGGCATCAATGCAACAGTTAAAGGAACGTCTTGAGAAAGACTTGCTAGAGGTATAGTTCCTCACTTGCCTTGTTTTATTTGCACTTTATTGCAATGACCACTAGGCTGATGACCCATTATGCCATTTAAATTAGCTGTTACGTACTAGTTAAGTTCATTACTAACTGGCAGTATTTTTGGTTCCATGTTGTCAATCATTATCTTTTATTATTTATTGTTTACCCGTGGCTTGTCGTCTGAAGTTTTCAGGATGACAATGTTATTCTCTCTTTCATGTTTTACAATTAATAAGCTCCTTGCTAATTTTTTTTTATTTTTTTATCCTTCAATTTCTAGGAGTCTCCTCAAGCAGCTAGAGTTAAAGTATTGGCAAGCGGAAATGCAACAGAAAGGAGATTCAGGTTGAATATTTATTTGTAACACACCCCACCTCTTTTCTCTCTCACATGACGGCGTGCACATGTTTTGATATGCAATATGTTAAATTGACACCCTTGCTGTAAGGGATGTAGAGTTGAGTTGAGCGGAGTAATAGGTTGTTCAAAATTGGCTTGTTCATCTTAATAAGCTTCAAAATATGTTCAAACTTAACTTGTTTACCTTCAGGAGCCAATAACAAACTGGGGCTAGAGTAGCTTGTTTTTTTTATTATAATGCTTATAAGGTTATCGAGCTAAGTAGTAGTTTGTTCAGCCTTAACTTGAAAACTTGATTAGTTTTAAACTGTATCAAACCTTGGTTTGTTTACATCCCGTACCAATAATGCAATAATGCTATGGTTTAAGCTGTAGTCAAGCCTTCCTACAAGTCTATATCATCAGTTGATATTTTACTTTTATTTTCCTTCCTTTCTGGGAAAAATCGTTGTTTACTTGATCTGTTATTTTATGCATGTATGCAGTGTTTGGATAGGAGGGAGTATATTAGCATCTCTTGGTTCGTTTCAGCAGATGTGGTTTTCAAAGTCTGAGTAAGTTTATACTGTTCGGTACTGTTTTCTTTGTCATTTTGTTTTTCATGTTTTCAGAAATAAAAGCATTGACAGTTCGGAAACCCAAACCCTAAACACTTCCAAAAATTCAGAAAACAACTTGCAAGTGTTTCCTGAAGAAACAGTGTTACAGAAAATTTTCCCAAATACAGCTTTTGAATTTAGTATACCAAACAAGTTTAATTTCCATTGTTTATTTGCGATGACAAAAAACAGAAAAAAGAAAATGATCTGCGGAAATTTTCAAAGGGAGCTCTAGCCCTTCCACTGTTTCATAAGCTTGGCATCTCACTATTACTCGCATCTTTCATTTGTGCAAATATGACAGGTACGAAGAGCATGGGGCATCTTACATTCAAAGGAAGTGCCCTTAATATGCCATATTTCCGACTCAATATCAAGCAAAGAGGTGGTCGGATAAGGGATTCTGCAGAGCCCTATATTCATGCAATGATTTGATTTTTGGTTTATTGAGCTGTTAATCTGTGCCCGATTTAAGTTATATTCAGACTCGTATGGATTCAAATCACTTGGATGTCTCACTATTGATCTGCACTAAATTATACTCTGTACAAGTAGTTTCTTAGTTTATTCTGCACCCAACTGTTTGTATCCTTGGGGGCAACTGTCCCTCTTTCTAACTCCTATTTAAAGGATCATGTTAATGACCATCCAATGGTTGTCATCAATCAAAGGTTTAGATAATGACAAAATAGTTAGATTTTCAATGCAGTTTTTACATATTTTCATGTATTGCTGTCATTAGCATTTTGCTTATGAAATGTTGATTTCAGCAGCACAGATCCAGGAATAAGCTTTTAGGGGAATTCATGGTCAAAATTTGTTTTGCCAATCAAGTGTTAAACAAAATGAGAAGGTTTATTATAAACATGTAGGAATAATAAATTTGCATACAAATGTAAAACATCACTAGTAATTGCTCAATGATTTTAGTAAGATTTCATAATTTTTTAACTCAAGATGATAAGATTATATGAGAGATTTAAACATTCCTCAAGTATAAATAATAGGGTCATGTATGGCACATATATATGTATCATATGTAATCCTTGATATTTATGGAATTAATTATTGTAAATGTCATAATCGCATTGTTTACAAGTCATAATTAATAGAAATAAAATAATATCATAATTAACATTATTAATGAGTCATAATTAAAGATGGAGGGTATAACATAAAATATATAATATTAAAATATGTTATAATTAACATAAAATTTCTCTATATAATATTAAAATATGTTATAAATAATTTGTTAAACGAACTATGTTTTCGTGTTATTTCAAACTCATCCAATTTTTTTTTTATCTAATCAAATTTCGTGAACAATCCCAGTTCATCAAGTTTGTGTAGGATTCATTTCCAAAATTGACACCCAAGCAATGGTTCTGATTCAACATTTACAGGGCCGCACAAGATCCACTTGTGTTCTACAAAGAAATTATTAGTTGATCATGGAATACCGTCATGCTAATACTCTACATGTGTTTTGATTATTAAAAAAATAAGATTTATAATTTTATATTAAATATTGGTGAAAAAAATAAAACTTATAATTTTATATTAAATAATTGAAATCAAAGAATATAAAAATTTGTAATTAATTAGAAAGATGACCGCATAATATCCTTATACCAACCAATAATTTTTCCCCAACAAACCACAAACTCTCCACTATAAATCCCATACCACTCAAAAAATAAAATAAAATAAAATCCAGAAGACTGTGTGTTGGGAGGGAGAGTGGGCATGGAGACTGCCATTTGCGGTCGAGTCGCTCTTTCTCCCAATCAAGTTTTCCACCCTAAACCAGGTACCCTCCCTCTGTCTCTGTCTGTCTCTCTCTCTCTCTCTCTCTCTCTCTCTCTCTCTCCGGCTCTCGTGCTGTAATTTCATATATTGAGTTTGGTTATCTGATAATTACTTAATTCTCTTTTTGAGGACAAACCACTGTCATTTGAATACTTGTATGTAAATTGTGTCTGCTAAGCTTGGGACCTGAAGTTGGAAATCAATATGCTCTGTTAATGTTTAATAGAGTGTACTTATTGAAATTTCAATTATGAATTTGAGGGTAAATAATTGAAAAATTAGGGTCAATTGCTGCTAAAGCTGTCAATTTTGAAAATGGAAAATGCTCTTCTTTGTCTGAAATGCTTTTCTGAGACCTAGAAGAAAAAAAAGAAGAGATATATTCATGTAGAAAAATACATTTTGTTTAAATAAAGAGAGATTTTTGTCCCATGATTGAGACCCACAAGACAAGGGGAGAGGAATTACAACTTACTGAGCCTATGCAAATGCACAATTACCTTCAAAAGTTTTACAAATTGTATGTACCACACTAATATGAAGAAAAATAAAAAATAAAAAATAGTCATACTACTAGAATCAATATCTTGCCTCTATGTTACCTGGATCGTCCTACTATGTGAAGCGATAATGGGAACATGGTACACCACATTCTTTAAAATGTGGTACAATAGGGGTGGACTTGCATATATTTTTGTTTTTGCCATGTATATATCGGAAGGGGTGAGATGTTAGTTGTTAGTAGAGGAATAGGAACCACAAAGGGTATCAAAACCTCACACCATTAAGTGGTGCTGAACAACCATTAGCTCAAATGACTTGGTTATACTTGTATAGATTACACTATAAGAGTCTAAGATACTTATAAAGTAATTTTATTTTTAACAATTGGACATCCAATAATTTTTTATTTTTTATTTTTCCAATTTAATCACGTGGTAACACGTTTCTGTGAGCATTATAACCTATTCTTGACATTTTGTCCTGTAAAAACTTCGCTCACTTATTTTAAGACATTATATCTGATTCTTTTTTCCTTCCTAAGGAAAACTTTAGGTTGTGTTCATTCACATTTCCCTTTCTCTCTTCTTTTTCCTCCAAACCTAGGATCCAAGACAACCTTAAGAAAATATATTTGAAAAAAACTTTTGAGATCACTTTTTTTGTTTTTTTCATAAATAACTTTTGAGATCACTTTAGACTATTAAATTTGCTGTTTTGGAACGAAAATGTACATTTTTTTGGTGTGTGTATTCCAAAACGTAATTCACTAGGGGTATTAGCGTTTTCTAGTAATAGTGTCTTACCTTAAGCCAAGAATTGGCATCTCAAGTTCTAAGAATCCTTAGAAGGTAGTGCTTCATGTATATTTTGTCATGTTATACTTTTTCCCACAACATACATTCTAGTTTCTTTTCTAGTATATGGTAACTGATGGTGCGTCATAAACAAGTGGCCACGTTGTACTTTTTCCAGTGTCTCTGGTTTCTTCACTCTCAGTGCACGGCTTTCCTGCAATCTTCTTCCTTTCCCTCTCTCTATTGATCTACCCCTCACTTGTCCCAAGCCTACTATTCATATGGCAATAAGACTGCTATAGTGAAAGGCCTCTCATTTCATTCAGAAATATTTTCCCTATCACTATGCAAAGATTCCCCAAGGGGGTAAGGTAGAGGAAATTAATGCATAGTCGATACATTTAAATCATAAGCATTATTATGATTTTTTTTAATTTTTATATATACCAACTTTTTTTTTGAAAGATTTAATCATTTAGAATCCAGATTGTGCCTCAAGCAAGAAGCATTACGCTAAATGCAAGAATCCTATAAAGTTTGTGATAACAAATTATGTGAGAACTTTTCCCGCAGCATTTATTAACTTTCTTTATCTATTATATGTCATACCAGAGCCAAGATCATTCCTCGAAACTGTGGCCTCAAATGCTTCTATGTTTTAAAATTAATTGATATGGTTTTCTAGCAATTTTATTGCTTTCCCTCTCCCAGTGACGTTACCTCTTACTTGGCCCTTCCCCACCACTTTAAGGGAAACGAGGGTTTAAACGCAAGGGTGAGGACTGAATTTTGAATTTTTATTTATCTAACCAACTGGTTTTTGCATTAACCGATTGCCTTGTCTTGATAATCTCTTGGAAATAAATTTTTAATTTTTTTGTGAAATTTTCATCAATAGTTTATTGTATATCAAAAAACTACCACCAATATAAAATTATAATTTGGAATAGTGGGTGTCAAGAAGATTTATAGCCCATTTAGATCTGTCTCATTGCCGGGTGGCTCAGGATTAAGTTCAATCATGTACATGGAAAAATTTGTTTGGATGTGTGAAGGTCTACCTCTTTTAGGTAAGCTTTGCGATGTATTCTTCTTGCGTCAATGAACAATTTTTCTCATGTAATACAGGATGGATCTCTTCCATTCTCTTTCTAGTTGAAGTTACTGTTTTGGACCAATGCATTTTGTGGTGAAATATCATCTGGATTTCCTTGTCTGGATTGCTTTGAGAATGCCTTATGCTTCTCCTATTTGATAATGAAGTGTATGACAGGTGATAAATACTCTCTTCATAAACAATGCATGAACCGGAGCATTTTTATGACATTATCAGCCGCGGCATCTGGGAAAGGTGGCGGCATTTTGGAGAAGCCAACCATAGAGAAAACAACACCTGGTCGTGAATCTGAGTTTGATTTGAGGTATGGGTTGCGAGATCTCTAAGCAGGGTTACTCACATTGTGTGTGGAATTGTATATTGTGAATATATATATATATATAAATGGGTAGGTAACCGTGTGTATATAAGAAGATTGGAAAATAATTTACAATTTATTTCTTGGGTACATGAAAGAAGGCTTTGGTTTAACTTTGTCTGATTTCATTTTCTCATGAGACATGGGCATATAATAAGTTAAAGCTAAAAACGGAAGATTGAACCACTTTGATTGTTTTCGGTTTTTCAGGAAATCAAGGAAAATGGCCCCTCCATATCGGGTGTTGCTGCACAATGACAACTACAACAAGAGGGAGTATGTTGTTCAAGTGCTTATGAAGGTCATACCAGGGATGACCCTTGACAACGCAGTTAATATCATGCAAGAGGCACATTACAATGGCCTGTCGGTTGCGATCATCTGTGCTCAAGTGGATGCAGAAGAGCACTGCATGCAGCTGAGAGGCAATGGCCTTCTGAGCTCCATAGAACCTGCAAGTGGAGGTTGTTGAGGCACTCCAGCAAAATTTGCATGCCTTTGGTAAAGTTAAACCTATATCATCTTATGTATTAGGATTCCGAATATATGTACATATGTTGAAAAACGTGTCGGTGATTTTGCCTGTATGATGTTTGTGGAATCAAAACAAGAATGCAAGAGTCCTGAAAAAACGTACTTCTCTTTCTTTGATGTGATCATGGGATATTCTCCTTTTTAATGGATGAATCATACAAAAATTAAGTTCCATGAAAAATGTTAGGTACTTATTGGGGAACTGTCTGTTTGTACCTTATGTGGCAAGCTTGGATTGGGCCATGTGGCAGGTTCAAGATTGGTTGCAGAATATGAGTAATGCTAGGGTGACTGATCATATTTGAATACTATTTGATGCTTGGATTAGCCCGTGTGACAGGAACAAGATCGGTTGGAGAACATAATTGAAGAGTAACGCATGCTAGGGTGACTGATCATATTTGAATACTCAAAAATGATTTTTCAATGGTACACGTAATGACTCTTAACAGTTGGAGACATTTAGGTTTCGTTTGTTTCGACGTAAAATATTTTATACGATAAATTTTTTTCATGCAAATGGATTTTATACAGAAGAATATTACTATTTTTATTTTTCGGCATTTGGTTGACATTTGAAATAAATTTTTTCTATTGAGGAAGTAGAATTTTGGTTGAATAAAGTTTCCGGTTACAATTTTTTCTTTTCTTTCTCGTCCTCTATCTTCCTCATCTATCTACAAATTTTGGTAGCCAGCCAGCCACTACTACGACTTTCCTCATTTTCCATGATGCCTCCACCACAACTAGGAGTGTAAAAATACCCCGCAGCCTATGGGCAGTTTGGGATGGGCCCGGCCCGTTTGGGCCGGAGCCTGAAATGCCTATGGGCAGTTTGGGATGGGCCCGGCCCGTTTGGGCCGGAGCCTGAAATTCTGGGCTTGGGTTATCATTTTGAAGTTTGGCCCAGTCTATCAGCCCGCTTAAGGCCCACTCAAGATCTGGTCCGCTTGCAATCTAATGTCTTTTTTAGTAGAAAATAATAAAATTTTGGTTAAAAAAAAAAAAAGAACTGACCCAAAGGTCCAAGCCCAACATATCATATCCCATTTAGGCCTAAAACAAATTTAATACTCCATTAAGTCCTCAAATTATCAATAAGACGAAAATATCCACAATATATCATCCAATTACACGAAAATATCCACAATATATCATCCAATTACACGCGCGCAACCATGACCCACGATCATCTCAGTCTGATCAGTACACTGTCACATCCCCGCCGCTCGAAATCGAATTCTCAGTCCTCCATCTCTTCTCCGTTCGACTCCATTCCCTCTAAAACCCTACCCTAACCACAAAACGAAACCGTTCATCTTCATCACCCACGATTATCTCAGTCTGATCAGTACATTGTTACATCTCCGCAGCTCGAAATCACATTCTCAGTCCTTCATTTCTCCTCCGTTCGACTCCATTCCCTCTGAAACCCTACCCTAACCACAAAACGAAACCGTTCATCTTCAACACAACACCAAGCCGTTCATATTCTCGAATCGGCGACTCTCAACAACACGAAGAACCATCACCACTCTGAAGAAATTTCATAGTTCCTAACTTTCAATTCACAGAAATGGAAAAAAAAAAAGAAAAAAAAGTAACATCTCTCTTCACCTATTCTTCATTATTTTTCATTCAGATTTGTACATTATTCTTTCATATTTCGTATATACTCATTTTACATACTTCAAAATGTATAAACCCTCTTTTATATATAATCCCTTGTTTTAAAACATTATAATCCACTGTTTTTACACATAAATCCATGTTTTTACACATTCAACACCTTATTCTTATTCTTGTTGTTCAATATTGGCTTTTCTTATTGTTATTGTTGAATGCGTAATCTTCTCGTTGTTATTGTTGCTGTTTACAAAATACAATGGGTTGTTCTTATTGTTGATACTGTTTATAAAAACTGTAACATCATACAATTTCATTTCATCACTCTACAAGTAACGTATCTAAATTTATTCAAACTGCAAATGAAACTGCAAAATTACACAGTTTAATCACTACTCAAAACAAATAAGTAACTTATGATAAAGTGCAAATCAAACTGTCATATTATACAGTTTCGTAACTGTTACCAACAAATACATATAACTTCATATTAAACTGCATATAAAACTTCAAAATTATACAGTTTTGTCGCTATATTACTTATACCCTGCTGTCGCTTTCTTTTTTTCAGAAATAGCTGTTGGAAGATATTGGAAGAAACAAACCCATGTGCCCAAAAATCCAATCAGGGATTTAAGTATCTCCCCTTTTGAAAGTCCTTCTCCTATATCCACTGAAATGTCACCAACATCTTTCCCTCCACAAAAAACCCAACCATCACAACCAAAAACAACCAAACACCACAGACCCCACCAAAAAACCCACAAAACAAGCACACTACCTACAAGAAAAAGCCCAAGAACTACACCACAGACCCCACCCACACAACAAACACCAACCACACCTCCAACCACAACAAAAACAAACAAAAGAAAGCCAACAAAAAAACAAGAAGCTCCTCCAACCAAAAAAAGAAAGCTCCAAGAAAGCCAATCAACTCCCAAAACAAAAACCAAGGCATCAAAAGGGAAAAAAGCAACAGTCCCTACAAAGAGAGTCCAACAATTTAATTACTGTTCTAACATTGGAACAGTAATCAAACTGTTGAAGGGGGTCAAATTCACAAAAGCCCAACAGACAGAGCTGGAAAAAACCCCTTTTTGGCCCATTATAAATGCTCTCTCCTCAACACAGCTGAAGGCCTCTTGGTGCAGATGCTACAATTCCATTGTAGCAGAAATGACAACACTCTATAATAAAAGAAAAATAGCATTTATACTTGGCAAAAAGGAAATGAAACTCAGAAACAGTGATGTCAAGCTCATTTTTGGTATTGACTGTGGAGAAGACAGTATCACTACCAAATCCTATGCAAGACCAAAGGATTTTGAGCTTCCATTTTACAAACGAAGATGCAAATCAGTAAAGAGATTGGATGGCAAGTCTTTGACCAAAATGTTTCAACAAACAAAAAAAGGAAAATCAACTAATGATCGTTAAGATCTTGCAAGGGTCATCACCCTTTACTTCTGCTTAAAACTTCTCATGCCTACAACAGGTCATACACTCAGTTGGAGTTTCCTCAACTATATTGACAATCTCAACAAAATCAAGAAGTACAATTGAGTTGAGGCAATAAAAGACACATTGATGAATTCAATGGCAAATGCAAACAACAACCCAAGGCATGTCACTGGATGCGCCATGTTACTCTTAGTAAACACATTACTCAACTACTTCACACAAAAATATCAGGCATCCACCTATTTCTAACTATCTAACATATTTCAAATTGTTTTTACAGTACTGGTATTGTGAGCATAGTAAACTCCTCCGACCATCCAACAAAGAAGGCTTCCCAAGGTTTATGAAATGTAACCTTGGCAAAATGTACTCCAAATAGAAACACATCAGCCTTGCTCACTTTGAAAAGGTATTCAAACTTTTCTATACTATCATAGCACAAATCTATTCAGCATTCACTTCACAGTCATTATAGTAAAAATCATGTTATGAAACTTTCAAATTCTTTAGTTTCAAACAACATATATTCAACACTTGACTCACATTATTCACAGTATAAATCATATTATGAAACTGTAAAAGTTGGCAGTTTCAAAGCACACACTTATTTATCATCACTCATGTTATGAAACTGCAAAACTTTACAGTTTAAACGCACAAATCTATTTCACATCACTCATATTATGAAACTGTAAAATTTTTCAGTTTTAAGAAACATATTTCGACACTTAACCCACATTACTCACAGTACAACTCATCTTATGAAACTGACCAATTTTACATTATTACTGATATATGCCGCATTGTTTCAATGCAGGTTAACCAAAGTGCTTTAACCCCAACTGAACAAGAACTACAATTATTGCATATCAATCAAAGCACATCAACTGATTCTTCAGCAAAGAAACATGACCACAAAAAAGACAATAAGCGAAAAAAAAAAAGAACAAAAGCAACAAAAAAAAAGACTTCTAGATAGTGATGATGAGGACTTTCTCGAAGAAGAACATCAATCAGAATCAGAACAAGAAGAACAACAACAAAAAAAGAAAAGAAAGCAAAAACCACAAGAAGAACCAGAAAGTGATGAACAAGAAGAAGAGTGTGATGATGAAAAAAACAAGTGACTGATGAAAAAGAAGCTGACGAAGAAGAAGAAGAAGAAAAAAAAAAGAAGAACTTGATGAACAACAAGACAATGATGAAGCAGAAGAAATACAAGAAGCAAAAGGTGATCAACAAGAAGACACTGATGAAGAAGAAGACCAACAACAAGAACAAGAAGAACAACAAACAAACCAACAACAATAAGTCAATGAAGAAGAATTGACAAACCAACAAGAAGAACTCTAAGAGAAATCTGACATATTTCATGCACAAGGTAAACTATTGTCTAATACTAAAGTAAACTGCAAAATTTAATTAAACTAACCAAAACACAATCCAACATTTTTATAGGTCATGACCAAGCACAAACACCAACCAAAGAGGACGACAAGAACAAGCTCATATCAACCATGAGAGCACAAATGCAAGATATGGAACAAAAATTCATGGCTGAATTGCGTAAAAAAGAAGATCAATTGAAGGAAATGTCCACTGAAAAACTGGCTGCCCCCAACAAAGATCAATGGTCAAGAGAATCAAACAAAAGTCAAGAAAATAGGCACATGACCCAGATTTTGAATACCAACCAATGACAAAAGCCAAAGAAGATGCAAGCAACAAGACACAAACTGCTGCTGATGTACCCAAACCAACAGAGGGTACTGATGAAGAAAAAGAGAAGAAGAATGAAAAGAAAAAAGAAGAAATCGAAACAAAGACAGAACCCCCTACTGAACCCGAGCAAAAAGAGGGTGCTCATGAAGCAAACAATAGCAGAAAGAAAAGATACAAGAAGATATTGGCCAACAGAAAACAGTTATTGCTGAAACCAACCCAAAAGAGGATGCCAATCAAGAGAAGACACAACTTCAAGTATTGGAAAGTGATGATGATTTCAAGAAAGAATCAATCTAAAACAAGCCACTCGCCATTTCATGCCGCAAAACAAACAAGGTTTGGCATAGCCTATCCAAAAA